GATGGAGGAGCAAGTCCTCGTGGCCTTCCAGGCCCTGAAGGATGAAGCTGTCTCTTATACACATCTAGATGTGTATAAGAGACAGGGGCAGATATTGGGAGAAGTCGTGGGGAGGGAGGGGAAAGGGAGGAAAGGGGGAGGGCAGATGTTGGGTGGAATAAGGAGGGAGGGATGAGGTCAGGCGAAGCGGGGAGAGAGATAGAGATAGAGAGAGAGAGAGAGAGAGAGAGAGAGAGAGAGAGAGAGAGAGAGTATGAGAAATATGAAGAGAACATAGATTGGAAGTGTGAGCACAAAGAAGAGCGTGTAGAGGAGGAAGAGTGTGAGGAGAATGAAGATTGTGATCCGTGCAGGACCGTGGTAATCTCTTCTATGTTCGTCCTGAGATTCACAGCCGCAACTTTTCTTCTTCTTTTCTTTTTTCTTTGTTCTTCCCGTGAGAGTACCATAAAGAAATGGGAGTGGGACCCAGGCTCGGGAAAACTTGGAGCGCAGTGAAATTCAGGCTCGGCAAAAACAGGCGCGTGCAATAACTCAGCTCGAATCATGCAATAGTCGTGGGCCATGGGTCGTCATTTCGGGGTAAGGGCCGGAACATGGGTCAACGGCCACGCCCAAGCCATGAAAACTGCCTGAACAAAGGCCGCTACTGTGGTTACCCGAAACAAGGCCTAAAACTGGGCTTCAGAGGCCCAACATGCGACAATTGACCGTGGAAAGTCAAAGACTCAAAGGTCAACCGCAGGTCGGAAATTCAGGCTCACGAGTCAAAGTCAAGATGGACGCTGCCCAGGACACCGATCAGACACACACACTTGACTGTTTGCAGGTATCTGTTGAGAATCAAGTCCAAGTGGTAATCTGCAACTGTATGGGATCCAGGCAATTGGCTGCGAGTCAATCCGTGCCATCGTATCTGAGAGACCAGAGGCTGGTCAAATGGAGTCAACACTATATGTTGACCCAGTCCCTACTGACCGACATTCAGTCTGGCACTTGCTTCTTGGTGCTGGCTGGACGCTGGCTGGACGCTAGCTTGACGGTGGCTTGACGCTGGCATTACGCTGGAGCGACGATGCGAGACTGCTACTGCTTGAGTGCTGGCGCCTTCTCTGTTTATGGCGCCAGCTGGATACTTGATTATGCTGACGTGGCTCTCGCCACACTTTCTACGACATTGATGGGATGCTGGCGAGGAGGAGGATCAGGGCTGTGAGATTGGTTGATCGTGAGGAAAGCTTACTTGTCTGCGTTCGTGTCGACATTGCGCATTGCTGTTTGTCTTCAGAGGAGTCTGCGCCGTGTGCACCACGATGAGATCTGTTAATTGTCAGAGCGTGTCAGAGGAGACTGTGTGCTGACATGGCGAGTAGGGGATGCCTGAAGGAGGAGTGGGTTTGTGAGGGAGATCCACCCGCTGAGCTGATGGGTACTTTCTGTTCCATCCTCTAAGTCGCTTCCCCCTCCCATCTGCCTCTTCTCTGGTCACGAGACATTGAGCTACTTGATTACATGTACGATTCAGAGACATTGAAATTGCACAAAGACATTCTGTGTTCCAACATTGACGAGCTTTCCATCTGACTGGGTTCATTTCACTCGGAAGTACTAGTGGTTTAAGGAGTTCCAAAACAGGGAATTTTTTTTACCTGAATGGTCATGTTTCTCCAATTTTGCACACTGAGTCTCTTGCTTGCTCTTTCTCTTCATGTACCACCCATTCTATGCCGCATCAAGCCCGATCTGATGTCATTCCTGACCTGCACATTTGGAATTATGGTACAGGTGACCTACACTATCTTGCCACCAAGTGGAGGCTACTTGGATACCAAATTGCTATGATCCTGGTTGATTCACGGTGCATGACTCATATCTGAGACAATGCCACAGTTGCTACTGAAGAAAGAAGAGGAAGACATAAAAGCAAATAGAATGAGGAAAGAAGAACAATAAGAAGAACACACAAGAATGCTCCAGTGTTATCTTCCTCCTCCATTTCGCCACCTCTCGTCATCACCCTGGGATAGTCCTCATTATTAGTCAATTCATGAACAAAGATCGATGTCCAATGAGTCTCCCATCACTGCTCTCGAGAAAGAATGTCGCGCGCCTAATCGGCATCGATCAGAACCGAGAACCGACCTCCCAGAGACAATACAAAAATAGCACAGCGGAAGACTGTAATACCGGGATCTGACTCAGCATGGACAATGACGGGACCTGACAGCATACATCATCACTCAGAAAGAGGGAGAGGAGACGATGGGGGAAGAGGGAGATTGGGAGGATCAGTCACCATAGCCCGACGGGCCCAGTCTCCAATGTATCCCCAATGTCGCTGCTCATACCATGTCAAGTCGTAATGTCACTGAACTGGGCAATGCCCGAATGTCACCAAGTCTCAATGTCAACACATACTCTCTCTCTCTCTCTCTCTCTCTCTCTCTCTCTCTCTCTCAGCAGAAGAAGGAGAAGAAGAAGAAGAAGAACCCCAAAGAGAAGAGGAGGGGCGA